CAATGTGTAGAAGTCTTTCGATTAGTTTTAGAAATTAGGTGTGAGTGACATAGGTCTATTGTTATCCAAAGTAAACCAAGTTTCGTGTTTCTTTAATAAAAAAATTATTTTCGCGATTCTCCACTCAGGTGGAATTCACGAATTATCTAATGGAGTGGTTAACTATTGCAAGTAAATCTTTAGGTGATACTTTATGGATTATCTCTATTACCGATGCAGTTATTCCATCTGGATCTGGAGCAGAATTGGGCAATATTTTCACTACTTGTGCTATTTCCGACGCTGTAACATCTTCAAAGTCATCATTGTTAACAAGGCACGGCGAGTTGTAAAAGTTAGCAGCCGTGAAGCGGCTTTCCAGCCCTTGAGCCATATTTTCCAGAAAAGTAGGCAACTCACTTGGCGTTGAAACTATCGATTCGAGGTTTGTTGATGATGGGATTACTTTTTGGGCTTTAGGGAGTTAAAAAGTGATTTCCTGTGGCCAGGCTTTGAAAGGAACTCGGAACGTTGGCTATCATAGTTATCCTTCGCAGTGGCAACTGTTCGCCTAAAAATTGCAGCTGCGTATTTGTAATCGCTCCAGTTTATAGGGCGCTAATTATAGAGCAGTTTTCGCCCCGCTGCTTTTCTAAGCCTGCAATGACGTGAACAATCAGAGTTTCACCAATCATTCAAAGGAAGTTGTTTAGATACCTGAACTGTGAATTTAGCTTTATTTAAAGATTGTTTTATAATATTCCTAAAGTGGATAACATTTCGCTCTTTATTTACCTCGGTTCGTTTTGACAAAGCCACACGTAGTGTCTGTTCAAATGTACTGAAATTGATGTGAGAAGTGGGCTGCCTGATTATTGAAGTCACGGGAGATACAAGTTCAAACAATATAAAAAAATGATCGCTATTGGTACCCGAGTTTAAAGTAGACCATGTAAAAATACAGAGGCTAGGACTACAGAAAGTCAGATCAATCGCAGAATGAGACTGATTACATACAAACGTGGGGGTTCGCTGGTTAATGCATGTTAAATTGTTTTTAGCAACAATATCCCACAGGCGCTTTCCACTCATATCTGTTTTGAATCTCCACGAAGCGTGATGAGAGTTGAAGTCTCCTACCATTAATATGTCTTTTCTGCAAGACAAAATTGCGGTATCTAAAACACTAGAATTTTGAACACCTGACGGAAAATAAGCGTTTACTAACGAAAAGGGAAGGTATCCCGGAATAGAGATATCTAATGTTAAAATTTCACTTTCTAAATTCATTATTTGACTTGTAACTTTTACCCGATGTGCAATTTTTGAAGAGATAAACACTGCTAAACCATTTCCTCGAGAGGGGTGGTCTAAGCGAAATGTTCGGTAGTTTTAAGATTAAAGGTTTTTTTCTTCAGAAAGCCAAGTTTCTTGCAACACTATAACATCTGGGGAATGCTGATTACAAATGCAAAATAAATCAGTAGTTGCGGAAAAAATTGACCGGCAATTCCACTGCAAGATTCTTAATCCACCTGTTTTGAAGATATGCCGGCAGCATTCACTGCCTTCTGCAATAAGCTATCTTTTAAAAAATCCTCTTTTGATGCTATTTCTTTCTGATATTTTTTACTTTTCCCTTTAGGACTCACTGGAGATCCATGTTTTCGTGGCGACGCCCGCTGCTTTATTTTGTGTGTGTGTGTGTGTCGAATTCCATTTGTGAGTGCTGCGAATCTGAATCAGAGCTCCAATCCAGATGTTCATTGGAGATTATTTTACGGCCGCAGTGCGACGGACCAACTCTTGATGAATATAACTCTTCAACAGGTGTTGTTATCGAGTGGCTGGGTTTAGAAAGCCCTGTTTCTAAAGATCCTGCATTCACCTCTTTAGCTGAAGAAAGCATAGAGGCTGCATGTGGATGATAAACATTCATGAGGACCTGAACGATTTGTGCATATTTGAGTAAATGACTCCGTCAGTGTCACAAAAAGTTTCTCCAATAGCTTTGCCATTGTTTTCTCAACGGTCGAGGCTATCACGTCTGAGAGTGACGAGTCCATGAAATGGTTATTACGGATCGCAGCTACTGCGTACCCACGAGAGTGCTCTGCGATGGCGATTCGAGCTTCGCGTCTTGAAAGACGTTCTCGCTCAATTATTTCCATAATTTGAATCTCCTGAGCTCTCGCAGGGCATGTGCCATCATCAGATGGGTGAGGACCACTGCAGAGACAGCAAGGCCTTTTCTGAGCTGTGCATTCTTTAGAGTTGTGTTGCCCTGCACACCTTATTGGCCAAAAATGTTCACGCCAACACGTACCGCAACCGAGCATTATCTTCATCGTCCTCTTTCGTTGAGGCTGATTGCGTGGCGCACTTTTCAAACGCCCACCAACATATCACACACGTACACATTGATTCTGTTCCAAATCTCAGCCCAGGTGGCTAGACAGACGATAAATGGTCAGAGACCATCTTCGAGTTCGATTACAGTTCTGGAAAAGCCGGCAAAGTAGTTTCGTGAAGGCAGCATCGAAGCTGAAAATTATGCAGACTACATCGCTGTCCTAACAAAACGGCATTAAATTCATCACAAATAGCGCGATGACAGGAGCATGGTGTACTTCTATTGGAAACCACGTTTCTGGTGCATCGAAAATCCTACACCGAAGCAAAAAAATAAAATGGCTTGTGAAACGTCAGTGTCACTTCTAGCAAAGCACATCGGGAGTTTGCAAACGACACATCTATTGCGATGTACAAATTTCGTAAGTGCTTAGTTTGGTAATTATCTGTTTATGAATTACTATTATCAGCTGAAATAATGCGCCTATACGCAGCTTGCGAATATATAAACTTGTGGATCGGTCTTGAATGATATCAGTTTTTAGCTTGCATGTTTCTCTTGTCACTACTTGTAGCGCTATTTTCAATTAATTTAATGTGAAAATATCAACTACCACATCATTACCTCTTTTAGGCAACATGGCAGCGGATCAAGAGAACTAACAAGCTCTTCGTGAAGATCGTCGTCGTACAGAAAAACGTGGTCGTAGTTGTGCATCTAATGTAAGTTAGGCTAAATGTATGACGTTTTGGTACGTACGAAAAAAAAAAAACGATCTCAATAACACGCAATCTTGTGGCCTTTTCTTAGCTTGCTGTTGCCGACGCGAGGTGGCGTGTCGTCATTCAGACGTCTTTCTGACTTTCTTCAATACTCGGACGACTCGGGCTAGATGCTGTTTTCTAAGCTGTCAAAAGTGTCGACTCACTGCAATGCCGCCCAGAATTGTAACAGAGTAATTATACTGTAGTAATTGGCAATTTCACAAAAAGGGAAAGATGACCCTGAAGTACGGTTCGAGTCAATTTTGATATTAAAATATATTACACCGCCCAATTTCGAGGACCTTTGCGTGGCCTGTCCTTCTTTTTCTTATTTTATTTTAAAATCTGTGACTTCACGGAGAGACTAAAAATGGTGTCTTTGTTCACCAATGAGGATTATCGGTGAAAGGCAAGCTAATTTGAGCTAGTATATTTTATAATAGGGTAATGTACCGTTCCTTACTTGCGTGAAACAGATTCTTCCGGCTATATAAAACTGCATATTTGTTTTTTTTAAATTTTGCATTAGATGGCTCATTTGAGCTTTCCTGACAGTTTTTCGTGTTTTTTGCGCACCTTTCGAATTCTATCTTTCTTCTTACGCAACTTAACAACTGAGAGAAAAAAATAAAAAAAAAGACAGTCGGCGTTTTTACTGCCTGCAGGATCGTTGTGCAGCGAAACCGCTTGGCCGCAGTCAAAGCTCAGTTTTCTTTACTGGCGCACTTATCGAGAAATGAGCAACATAGTCGCGACTATAGGTGCACTACAAGCAGAGCTGCCGTAGATTTTCGATTTGGTCTAAAATTTCACCCGTCGTCTACCAGCTTTTGTGAGCGGGCACCGCGTTACAGAGGAGCGAGATTGATCTCAAGTTTCAGCCATTTCTATAGAAGTTTTAATGAATAGGGCTGATGATAGCTGCGTCTGGAGACTTTTCGGGGGGGGGGGGGGGGTATTGTTTTTTTTTTTGCGATCATGCCACCGGAAGGCCAATGAGTGTTGTGTTTCAGCAGCAGTCTTATCGTTAAATGTTTGACTCGTGCAGCTTTTTGTCTCAAACTTGGCAACATGATGCTGTTTTACCTTTTTTTCTACGAGTCTTCTTTACTAACTCATTTACGAAAAGCAGCCGGTATTGCTACAGAATACAGCCATCTATTCAGCACAGGGTGTTCGATGGTGCAACGGACATTGCATTTTAGATGCGGAAGCATCTTATACTCGCGCCTTGTAGTGCGCCGTCTGCGCCGTCCGCTCCGCTTCTCGAACATTCGACAGCTGACGCGCGCGCATGCGCCGTCGCGCCGTCGCCCACTCTTCCACCATCTGTGCATCCCTTCCTCCTCTACACACCGCGCGCGCTTCACTCCTCCACCATCTGTGCACCCTTCCTCCTCTACACACCGCGTTCGACATCTACAATTCTCCTGACTCTCCAGTGGACGCGCATGTGGCGTCGCGCTTCGAGAACATTCAACAGCTGACAGTGCATGCGCCGTCGAGCTGTATATATACTCAAGGTCGGCGCTCGCTCGCTCAGTTGCCGCTCGTCGGTTGGTTTGTACGGCGCGTCGACGTCCAAGGTCGCGGTGAAATGAATTCCAACGAATCCACAAACACAATGATCGACGTCCCTTCGACCAGCGCCGCCCTTTCGCATACGTGTGTACGTGTTCACTCATTTAACACCCCCTCCTACAACCACGTTAACCAATTTAGCCATCGACCCAAGTAAGTCGCAATTTAACACCCCATTTCACAACCACGTTAACCAATTTAGCCATCGACCCAAGTAAGTCGCACTTTAACACCCCGTTAACCAATTATATGCTCCGCATCCTCCTCAGTGTTCCCCCGAGGGAAGCTGCGGGCAATTTTTTTTATTATTGATTTCATTGCAGGCATACAACGGACAAAGGAGGGCGAGAGAGTTTCTTCAGATCATCGGGAAACAGGTAAGTGTAAACGGTCTGAATGGCGAGGACCCCGATATCTCTAAATATGCCCTTAGACTATTTATTCCAGCGCTTGCCGCTAGTCGGTGATATAAAGAAAATCTCAATGCCATTATACTTAAGGGTATAGAAGACAATAATCTGTAGCTTTCCAGGAACTTTGCATGAAACCGTTATCCAGGTAGATTAGGTTGCGCATTCAACCGATACAAGACAGCTACCACGAAAAAATCGGTGGTGTTTTGCGTCATTGAAAAATCAATTAAATATTGGCAAGAAATCGGCAAGTTTGAATGCATTTTACGTGACGTTTTTCTATCTTTGGAAGTACAATGCGCACCTTGCTCAACTCGCGCCGGCGTGCAGGTGTTCACAGGATCGATCGGAATGCACTATTTAAATTCTCAAGGAACTAGCATGTATAAACCAAGGACGCTCTTCATCGCTTGAATCTCTCAAGCAGCTGCTTAATACAGCCCTTACATTCGGAACGTTAACTTACTTTCGCAAAAAATAGCTTCATTCTACTTTTGCTTGTCACGAATGCTTCTCTCTCTCTAAGTAGTTCCAAGTGAGAAAGGAAAAGAAAAGTGAGCCCCGTAACTGTCTGCTTGAGCGAGTGACACCCCAACAGTAGCTCACAAGGGATGGGGGTGAAGAGGGATTAAAAGGGTAGAAATAAAGGTATAGACAGAGAAAGTGGCGTGAGGTGGTAAGCGTGAGAGCGACGACATATCGAGGGGATAGGAGAGAAAGGAAAAATGGAAACACGGCAACAGGAGTCGGAGGATGGGGCACCACTTGCGAGAGCTCTTGTCGGCGTCTGTAGATGGCGCAGAGCAAGTCCAGTCGGTCAGAGCTACACTGTCGTCGAAGGTCGTCGGCGTCAGGAGATGACGTAGGGCGAGCCCAGTCGGCCAGAGCTACGCTGACGCCGGAGATCGCGAGGGCACAACCGGTCGGCACGGAATCCAGCAAGCGAGTCCACGAATGCTTCCACATTATCCGAGTACTTGTAGGCACTGCGTGTGTAGTATAAACCTGCCCTGTAGGCCAAGGCCAAGTGTACGAGAAACGTTGATGGTGAAATTTTCGACATGTTTTTTTTTTTCATCCCCTCTGCCTAGATCAAGCATTACTCTACAAACCACACCGTAGTGACTATGGGCATGGACTTCCACTACAGGGACGCTTCCAAGTGGTTTCGCAACCTCGACATGCTCATCCATTACATCAATGCCGAGGTTAGTTACCTTTACTTGTGTGGTGTGTTGATTGTTGTGACTGGCTCGGTGTTGAGATCGGAGTAGGAAGAGACACTGTGCTATGTGCCGGCTATCAGTGAAACGTACGTGTAGTCCAACTTGAAGCGAAATCGATTAAATACCGGACGGGTGCGCAGATTTCCTCAATGATTCAAGAGTACGTGTGAAAACTTTAAAGATCAACTTATTTGCATTCGGGCCTTAACTGCAGATGCTTCATGACCTCGACACAGGTCGAAATTAAAACTTGAATCAGAGTTCTTTAAAGTAGAAGCAATGTTTTGACATTATGAGTGGAATATTTGGCGTATCATCAATTTTTGTACGCGTTCAAACAGAGGGGTTCAGTAAAATGCTGGAGGCATCAGCCTATAAGGGTGCGCTTGTCGTCTTCCTGTCGCTCGCCGTCACCGTCAGTAACCGTGCGAGAAATAATTTGCCGAACTACAGATCTCGGTGCAAACGAGACGCGGAAAAGCAATCTGGAGAGTCCGTAGAGACTTGTTTTCCACTGCACTCAGCGATGCCTAGAAAATATTGACTAAAGCAAAACACGAAAACGCGTATCTATTTCGCACTAAAGTAGTATACAGTGAACTCTAGAACATGCCGACAATTAGCTAGCATGTTTCGAGACTCGTTATGTAGCTACCAGATTTCTGCAATGCTGGTATACGCTGCCATTGACTGAGAGGCCTCATCCCCGTCTGATCTGCTGCAGTTCAGTCGGAATTAACATATGCGTTCAAGCAGGAAGTAGATTATCACTGTTCACTTTTTTACTTTCTTTAGTCAATTACACGTTTTGGACTTTGCCTTCGCTTTACGTAAACGTTCTAATCACACATAAATTTGTGCATCTTAGCGCTGTATAAAAATTCATTTTTTTCTCTCACAAACAATACAGGACATTAATAAATTGGCTAGACATAAAATGACCCTGTAATATTATTCACAATATTGTTACACGACATCGGCAACGAAAGAGCATCATAGACGACGAAGACAATGAAAGCGACCGTGCTCGTGTTGTTGTTGCTGCTGTTCTTCCATCTTGGCTGCAGCTCCTTATCGCGTGTCCTTATCGCGTCCTTATCGCGTGTCTAAGGCTGAGCGACAAGTTATCCAGCACGAAGTTGAAGAAATGCTCACAAAAGATGTCATTGAACCTTCCTGCAGTCCATGGACATCGCCGGTCGTGCTAGTCAAGCAAAAGGATGGCAGCTGGCGCTTCTGCGTAGACTACCGTCACTTAAACAAAGTAACACGTAAGGACGTGTATCCACTGCCGCGGATCGACGATGCTCTCGACTGCCTACATGGGTCTGCCTACTTTTCATCTATTGACTTGCGATCAGGATACTGGCAGATTTCTGTCGATCATCGAGACCGTGAGAAAACCGCATTCATCACACTGGATGGACTTTTCCAGTTCAAGGTTATGCCATTCGGATTATGTAATGCGCCAGCTACATTTGAAAGGATGATGGACTCTCTCCTGCGTGGATACAATTGGACCACGTGCCTGTGCTATTTCGATGACGTCATCGTATTTTCACCTACATTAGAAAGCCACCTTAACCACCTAACGGCTGTTCTTGAGGTTTTCCGGAAAGCAGGACTTCAGCTCAACTCATCCAAATGTCGCTTTGGCCGTCGTGAAATCACTGTGCTGGGCCACCTTGTCAGTGCTCGAGGCGTGCAACCTGATCCTGACCAATTTCGAGTTGTCAAAGATTTTCCCATACCACGTTCCGCAAAAGATGTACGGAGTTTTATCGGCCTTTGTTCTTTAGACGTTTCGTGAAGAATTTTGCTTACATTGCTCGACCACTTACGGAGCTATTGAAGAAGGACATGCCTTTTTATTGGGGTACTGACCAAGCAACTGCCTTCAGCACCCTTACAACATTACTTACTTCCCCACCCATCTTGGCCCATTTAGACCCGTCAGTCCATACTGAAGTTCGTACCGATGCCAGCGGACATGGAATTGGTGCTGTTCTCGCCCATCGGCAACGAGGACAGGATCGCGTCATTGCTTCTGCCAGTCGCCTCCTTTCTCCTTCGGAGAGCAAGTTTTTCATTACAGAGCGTGAGTGCCTCGCACTTGTCTGGGCAGTCGGAAAATTTTGACCATACTTGTTTGGCCGCACCTTTTCGGTAATTACAGGTCACCATCCCTTGTGCTGGCTGTCGTCCCTTAAAGATTCAACAGGATGACTTGCCGTTAGGCCTTGAAACTACAAGAATACAGCTTCGACGTGGCATACAAATCTGGCCTAATGCACCAGGATGCCGACTGTCTATCCCGTCACCCCGTGGACCCACCTGACCTTTCAGCACATGATTCTGACCCTTGTGTCTTCGCCATGTCGGCTTTCACCGACATACGCAAGGAACAGCTCAGCGATGTCCACTTGTGGTCTATCATGCAGAGTCTACGCTTGCCCCACGTAGACCCGACGCTACACTTGTTCGTTCTACGTGATGGCATTCTTTACCGACGCAACACGAGCGCTGAAGGACCAGAGCTACTACTCGTAGTTCCTGCGACACTCCGTTCTGGTGTACTTGAACAGCTTCACGACGCCCCAACCGCGGGACATCTCGGGGTCACGCGCACATACGATCGCGTGTGGCGTAGATTCTTCCGGCCAGGCCTTTACCGTTATGTGCGCCGATACGTTGCTGCATGTGAGTCCTGCCAGCGCTCCAAACATTCCACCTTACCACCAGCTGGTTCACTCCAACCAATAGACATACCCACCGTTCCCTCCTACCGCGTCGGTCTTGATCTCGTTGGACCATTCCCTACTTCTCTCACTGGAAAGAAGTGGATAGCCGTAGCAACTGATTACGCCACAAGATACGCTATCACACGAGCGCTACCGACAAGCTGTGCCACTGACGTCGCGGACTTCTTGCTTCATGACGTAATTCTTCACCATGGCGCTCCTCAACAGCTGCTGACTGATCCTGGTCGCTCATTTCTTTCAAAAGTAGTGACATCCTTCGCTCGTGTTCGACGCGTCACAAGCTCACTACGGCCTATCACCCACAAAAAAATGGTCTTACCGAGCGCCTAAATCGACCATTGACAACAATGCTCTCCATGTACGTTTCCAAAGATCACCTTGATTGGGATAGTACTTTGCCTTGTGTGACATTCGCGTACAATTCGTCACGCCACGACACCGCCGGTTTCTTTCCCTTTATCTATTGTTCGGCCGCCATCCAGCGTTACCCTTCCAGACTCTTCTCCCATCAACTACGCAAACGGTTACAGAGTACGCCCGGGATGCCACAGTTCGGGCTCAAGTGGCCCGCCAAATCGCACGGGAACGTCTTCTTGGCTCGCAGCTCTCTCAGAAGGCCCGCTACGATAGCTATCACAGAGTAGTTTCCTACTCTCCAGGTTCATTGGTCCTCTACTGGACACCATGCTGCCACGTTAGCCTCTCTTCGAAGCTCCTGTCTCGCTACTCGGGGCCTTACAAAGTTTTACGCCGGCTTACCGATGTCACATACGAGATTGCTCCGTTGGACAGTCAGTCATCGTCGTCCGCACCCGCTACTGACGTCGTCAACGTGACCCGCCTCAAACTGTACATATCTGCATATGATCCTACTCTCCTTTAGGCGCCGAGACGGCGCCGCCAGCAGCGTTGGGTTATAATTTACACGACATCGGCAACGAAAGAGCATCATAGACGACGAAGACAATGAAAGTGACCGTGCTCGTGTTGTTGTTGCTGCTGTTCTTCCATCTTGGCTGCAGCTGCCTCTGACTCTCCCTGTATATTTTGTAAATATATTTATTTCATTCATTCTTTCACCCCCGTGACAATATAATAGAATGAACTTCCATTAGTTATGATTTATTCATATATTAGAGCTGTGTGGAGGATCCAACCCAAGTCGTTTCCGTGGCATGAGGACGTTCTACCACACGGCCGGATTTTTATTTTTTTAACTTTTTTACTCATACTCGTTGAAGTCTTCGTCATTTTTTTCATTCCTCATCTTCTTACCTCTTTCTTCCCTCTACTCTTTGTTTCCTCTGTTTCTTCCCTCCTCCCGAAAGAGTGAGCAGGCGTCGTGCCCCTCGAGGTGGCAGTTGCCAGCTTGTTCTCTCCCTCTTTCCTCTGTTTCCCTCTATTTTCGTGTATGAAAATAAAATAATAATAATTAATAATAATAATAATAATAATAATAATAATAATAATAATAATAATAATAATAATGTGTGGAGTCATTTTGATATGACCTTTTTTAATCTGCAATTTAATCATGACATTTCAAGTTCTATCTTGTTTCGTCAATACTTTTGAAGCTAAGCGTGCCTTATTTTATAAATAAATAAATAAATAAATAAATAAATAAATAAATGTTAACCGTGTCACAAGTAGCTAGTGTACGTTATTTTTGGACTAGACCCTGTTGTAACGATGACAAGGAGATTAGCGCCCCGCCACGGTGGTCTAGCGGCTAAGGTACTCGGCTGCTGACCCGCAGGTCGCGGGTTCGAATCCCGGCTGTGGCGGCTGCATTTCCGATGGAGGCGGAAATGTTTTAGGCTCGTGTGCTCAGATGTGGGTGCACGTTAAAGAACTCCATGGGTGGTCAAAATTTCCGGAGCCCTCCACTACGGCGTCTCTCATAATCATATGGTGGTTTCGGGACGTTAAATCCCACATGTCAATCAATGACAAGGAGATTAGCCATGTACTTTATTTTTCTCCGGAAAAAAAGAGAGAGGGGGTGGGAGGTGTGATACCAGGCTGCAACAGCAATTGCTCCGGGCACGCCACACATCCGCGGCAACTATAAAGCAAGCACTACACCAAATAAATTCCTGTCTACTTTCAAGTCTCATGCACTCATAAAACTTCAGTCCTTTAGAAAACAGCGTTGCAAAAAAAAAAAAGGTTAAAAGGTTATTCGGCAAACGCCGCGTACCTTGGGATATCTTGGGA